TCGTATAAACTATATATGTATAAGTAAAATAATAATTAGAAAATATATGTATATATTTTGTAAATATATACATATATTTTCTAATTACTATTTTTGTATATGTATATTTTATTCATTTATTTCTAATGCACTTAACAGGACACATTCGCACACAAATTTCCAATAAAAACCGTGAATGCCTCTTTTGCATTATCACCATAATTTAACGGGCTTCCGTTCCACCGTGCGACGCGTCGCGACGCTTCCCGCCGATTTCTCGATGCGAACGATCCAACTTCGACGATTCCGCGCGCGAGCACCGTCGGATTATTCGAGCGCGGGTCGTAGCCGACGAAAAATTCTGTGCGACAAGATACGTCGGTTAAAAAATATGGCGCCGCGGCCGCGGCCGCCACCCTTTCAGCCCCCGGGGGATCCGCGCGCTTACGATAACGCGGATACGAAAATATACCGAGGGGAGGCGCGCGCGCGCGCTCGCGTTTTGCTCTTTTTTTTTCTTTTCGGTTTTCGTTAAAGGGACGCACCTTGCACCGAATGTGCTCGTGAAGCACACGGGGGTGGTTTTCAGGGTGGGGTGAACAGGATGTTGAATGTCTGTTGCGGCGCCGCGCGGCGCGGAGCGGAGAAATCTGTTAGCGTGCCGGGATAAACATTGCCTCTTTCGCCGTTTGCTCTCTCTAAAACTGCCGCCCGTGAAACCACCCTTATGAGGTCGCCGCGCGTGTTACACCCTCTGCGCGTCGCCCTACAGAGGACATTGTCTCCCATAATAATCCATCCATTTTTTTGGAGATCGCCGGAGACGGAACACCTGTGCAAGAATTCGAATAAAAATGGAAGCTGAGTGGGAAACTGGTTTATTTATTGTCTAGAATTGTGGTTGGACTATTAATTTCTGGTTGAAATTATTATATTAATTATATTAAATTATATTAATATATTATAATTGACTTTAATATATTAATTAATTAATTAATTAATTAATTATAATATATTAATATATAGATACAATTTTACAACGAAATGTGCCTTTAACCGCTTAGCTGCGTCGATCTGTTTTTAAGATCATTTTTGTACGCGTTTTTTTTATTGATCGCACTGGGTGCAGTTGTTTTCGGCAAGTTATTCTGGAATTATTCTAAAATATGCGAAATTTATGAACACGTTTCACAAGCGTTTTAAACTAAATTGTAGGAGAAGTATTTTTGTCATAATTTAAAAATAAGGTAATAATAAAAATAATGAAAATTAATTAATTTTAGGTATACCAAAATTATATGGTACTTCCGGGAAATGGGGTGTTCCTGAGGTCATTTCAAGCAACTTTTTCCTTTACGAAAATGTTCTCCGAGGCTCGGTTTACGAATTATTAACAAAAAACAGGGACCAATGAGAGATCGCATACGCCTAACGCTCCGCCCTCGCGACTACTACCGCTACGTCACACGGCCGGCGCGACGCGGCACTGACCGCAAGGGCGGAGCGCCGACCGCGCTCGTTCTCCGATTGGTCCACATTTTTCGTTAATAATTCGTAAACGAAGCGGCGGATCGCATTTTCGCAAAGGAAAAAGTTACTTGAAATCACCTCAAGAACCCCTCATTTTTCAGAAATACCATAATTTTGGAATACTATATATTTTCACCGTACGTTTTATGAAACATCCTGCATGCGTTACTCGCAGCAAATATTACAATAAGACTCGTTGAAGATCAAAACAAACGTCACGCAGTTATTTCGGCAAACTAATATAAAACAGCTGCTTCGACTTCGGTTTTAAAGTAATCAATAACGTCCGTATCTCATAAATCTTGTTTCGAAATGTTCGTACCTCTGGTCTGACGCGATATCGTAGAAAAAAGAGCGAGAGAGAGAAAGAGAGCGACAGAGAGAAAGAGAGGGAGAGGAAGAGAGCGAGAGAGAAAGAGAGGGAGAGAAAGAGAGCAAGAGAGAGGGACAGAGTACTATCGTTAATTTTAACCAACTAGTCCGTTTCGTTCTCGCGGAATTGGTTTCACGTTGGTCTCCGTTTAATATTTCGAGAGTCGATATTCGGCGCTTAACTTTCGTCTGTTCCTCGCAGCGCGCAGCGTTCGCGGAAAGCCGGTGGCCGACGAAGCGTCGGTTATATCGTTGGTCCGACGAGGTAAATAGAATCGACCGATCGGTGGTTCGTCGGAATAAAAAAGAATAAAAAAACGATTAGCGTGCTCTCGAAGGCAGAGCGCGACAACGTTAAACTAAATGGAAATATATCCGCGATATCGATGACAGAACGGCGGCGTCGGCGGCGGCGGCGACGGCGGCGTTGGGACGTTTAATTAATTAAAAGTGAGCAGCTGGCGCGGCGAGCGACGCCGCCGTTCCCCAATTTTCACGCAATTATACTCGTTGTCCGCAGTTTTGTAGGACATTTTCCCCGTGACTAACGGTTAACGGCATTGTGTGTTGCTCGGTGAAAATGGATTGATGGAAATAATAGACGGCGCGCGGGAGGGAGAGAGAGAGAGAGAGAGAGAGAGAGAGAGAGAGAGAGAGAGAGAGAGCGCGGGAGGGCGACCGAAGGCGGGACAGCGGGAGAAAAGGGCCGGGGTCACGTGTCACGTCGCCCGCCGCCGGCCAGTATCAATTATTTTCAAATTACGATTTTTCACCGTGACACAGTGTGTACAATTGATTTATCCGCGTCGCATCGCGACCGGGATACGCGATTGATACGTGTCGCGAGAGATGACGCGATTCCGATCCTTTTTTTTTAACCGTCCTCTCCACCCCCTCCCGCCCTCCCGATACGCTTCGAAGTTGATTCGGTGGCCAGATACTACGGCCGGACTGACCGATGGTTAATGCATTCGCACTGCCACCTAGGATTCCGTCGCTCCGATCGGAAAAAAATTCCGAGCACTCTCGCGAGGTCTTCGGACTGGAGTTTTTTTTCGGCACCGGATCTCCGTTTATGACGAACGTGTCGCGTGTTCTCTGACCTTTCGATCCGACCTCGTGCCATTTTGTTGTAATTTTAGACACTATCTTATCCTGTTATTATATTGATCGACGCGTTTCGACTTCGTTTGAAATTGTTAGCGGCGGGATACGCGTGTTTTTTGGTTAAACTTCTTTTTAGGGGACCAAAATTCGACGATTTTGCGTGGCATGTTTTCGTAGACGTTGATTAGAGAATGCCGGGAATGCGAATTTTAAGGCGAGGAATTGTATGATATCGATTATATGGCGTTTTATGTCACGTGTTTTCGGTCACGGGTATACAGGAACTCTTTTCGTTTGTTTGACTTTTATAAGAGATGGTATAAAGTTTTTGGAACACTGTGGGCTAGTTTTCTTCGAATTACTGGAACTCGATGAACCAGCGATGGCGAACCTATGACCCGCGGGTCGTAGCTGACCCACGCGGGCTTTTTGAATAACCCGCGCGTCGATTGCTTATAAACTTATTTTTTATGTCATAGAGGAGATTGTACAGACAATCGAAAATATTAAAATAGTAAAGTATATATATCTCTGTGTACATATATATTTTATTAGTAAAGTATATATGTCTCTGTATAGATATATATTTTATTAGTAAAGTATATACATCTCTGTATACATATATATTTTATTTTCTTAATATTTTTGAATACTAAGAAATATTTTTGTATAAATTTGACGTTATATACAGGGTATCCCAAAATTATGGTATTTCCGGGAAATATGGGGTTCCCGAGATCATTCGAAGCAACTTTTTCCTTTACAAAAATGTTCTCCGAGGCTTCGTTCACGAGTTATCAACGAAAAACACTGACCAATGAGAAGCGAGCTCGGCTAGCGCGCGGCGGCCGAGCCAACGAGCGCGCACGGAGTCCAGTTCCGTTCATTGGCTCGGCCGCCACGCGCCAGCCGATCCCGCTTCTCATTGGTCACCGTTTGTTCGTTAATAACTCGTAAACGAAGCCACGGATCGCATTTTCGCTGAGGAAAAAGTTACTTCAAATGATCTCACGAATCCCTTGGTTGCCAGAAATACAATAATTTTAGGGCACCCAGTATATATATATATATAACGACAAATTTATAAAAATAATATTTCCAAGTGAATGTCGGCCAGCTGATTTTCTATCTAATACAATAATTTTAGGACACCCTGCATATATACATATAGCGACAAATTTATAAAAATAATATTTCCAAGTGCATGTCGGCCAGCTCATGTTCTGTGCAGCTGTGCACGATATACACGATGTCACTCTAATTATATCAATTTTCTTGACCTTTATTATTATTTATTATATTATTCAATTTAACCTTTACTTTTTTGCTCTTCGTTCGCAAAAGTAAAAAGTTGCGAGACAGAAAGGTAAACGTAAACTTTGTAGAGGATTTTGAAAGTGAGAATCGAAAAGAGTAGTGTTTAACCATGCTCCCCACCCCTTTTCGAAGTGACGCCGCTGACTTAGCGACCGCCGAGCTACTATTAAAAAAAGTAATGAACAAAATTTGAACAAAATCTTTCAAAAAAGGTTCGCCATCGCTGCGAACGATAGAACGATAGACTAAGGCTTGCGAGACACGCTCCCCACCCCTTTTTGAAGTGACGTCACTGCCTTAGTGACCCCCAAGCTAAGGTAAACGTAAACTTTGTAGAGAATTTTAAAAGTGAGAATCGAGAAGAGTAGTGTTTAACCATGCTCCCCACCCCTTTTTGAAGTGACGCCGTTTGACTTAGCGACCCCCGAGCTATTATATATATATATAATATAATATATTAAAAATAATATATTAATATGTATATAATTATAATTATATTAATATAATTAATATAATTATATAATTATATTAATATAATTAATATAATTATATTAATATATATATTTATAAAATAATGAAGAAAATTCTTGAGACCCCTTCTGAAGAAGGTTCGCCATCGCTGCGATAGACTAAGGCTTGCGGGACGACAGAAGATGACAGAACGTTGCTGACCGAAGTATTTGTTCTGTTCACAGCGTGCAGCTTGCGAGGAAATCGAAATGGTGGAGCTGTGCGGCAGCGGACAACCGACTTCGGCGATGGGAGTGATGGGCCTCGGCTCGGTGGTGTCGGCGGCGACGTCGTCCTCGTCCTCGTCGACGACGACCACGGCCGCGTCGTCGGCGTCGGGTCGGGCCGGGGTCCTCGAGACCCAGGTCCGCGGCCAGTGGTACCGCGTGTTCGTCTCCCTGGAGGACGACTACCTGAGCATCTCGTTGGACGAGAGCTGCGAGACCGGGAACAACGGATTGAACAACGGGAACATCAACAACAACAACGTCGACAGCCTGAACGATCCGGACGTGCCGGACTCTGTCGCGAATCAGAAGCGTATCGTGCGCGTGGTTAAAAGCGACAACAACGGCCTCGGGATCTCGATCAAAGGCGGCAAGGAGAACAAGATGCCGATCCTGATCTCGAAGATATTCAAGGGGATGGCGGCCGACGCCACCGAGCAGCTCTACGTCGGCGACGCGATCCTCGCGGTGAACGGAGAGGATTTGCGCGAGGCGACCCACGACGAGGCGGTGAAGGCGCTCAAGAGGGCCGGGAAGGTCGTTGAACTCGAAGGTGAGTCTCGAATGAGATCGGATTCGTTTCGTGGTGCGGGAGCGTTGATTTTGGAAGCGGTCAGAAAAATTCTCTCCGATTGTCCTTCGGCTTGCGAACAGAAATGGACAATTTGGGAAGAGAAGATACGATTATATTCCCTAATTGTATCTACCTAATTGGCGCTCAGATTGGGCACAAGAATGGACAATTGAGAAGATTTGAAGGTCGACGATTCGAGAAGAGGGGATACGATTATTCGAGCGGCTCGTTTTTCATAGTCAATAATTATAAAAATGAGCAGCAAGGCTCGAATAATCGTATCTCCTCTTCCTAAACTGTTCATTTTTGCTCACGGGCTGAAGGACGATTCGGAGAATTCATTGCGATTGATTTCAGACTTATTAGAGGGTTATGTCAGTAAGCTACTTTTGCCCGGAACCTTTGGTTTCGGATAAATTAGTGCCGCGCAGAGCAATAAGGGAGTAGTCTAGATATAGATTTTTTATATTATATATACATTATACATTATTATGTACTACATATCTTCTACATTATTATACATGTCCTATAATTATGGTACTTCCGGGAAATTAGAGACTCTTGAGGTTATTCGAAGCAACTTTCTCCTTTACAAAATTTTTCTCCGAGGCTTCGTTTTCGAGTTATTAACGATCGAACGGTGGCCAATGAGAGGTCGCGCGCGGCTGACGTCCGCCCTCGCGACAGCTGCCGCTGCGTCATAGGGTCAGCGCGACGCGAGGGCGGAGCGTCGGCCGCACTCGCTTTCCGATTGGTCCGCGGTTTTTCGTTGATAACTCGTAAACGAAACCTCGTAGAACATTTTTGTAAAGGGAAAAGTTACTTCAAATCACCTTGGGAACCCTTCATCTCTCGGAAATACCATAATTTTGGGACAACCTGTATATTATATACGTGTATATACTATTTATATGAATTATTAATACTAGTATTAGTATTACTAATTCATATTAATACTAGCATTAGTATTTATATGAATTAGTCGAATGAATCAACCGAAGTTTACATGAATCGGTTGGTGGTATACGTAAGGATTAAAGGATTACTCACATCGTACTTTGAATCTATCATCTATAAAACTGCAGGACTCGTTATTATTACAACAATATCCATAGCAACCGCGTCTCTCGTTCACGCGTTACCATAGGGACAAATATCGTTTTCGGGTGCAACGCCGAGTAGTACATTTGGACAAATTCGTGCCCGTATAACAGCACTGTGCAAGCAATTCAGAACTCGCGGCGTACAATGCTAAGAGAAGTAGGAGGAGGCAGGGCGCAAACCACTGGCGGAGGAAGTCGAGCAGCGAAAATTGAGCCGTCCCCTTTTTATCGGTTCCCATCGAAGCGGAACACATAGCTTGACCCTTCTCTCGCCGACGAAGAATCATGCTCTGTGCCGCTGACGACGCTCTCCGATGAAAACGGGCCCGGCGGAGCGACCGCCGTAGGTCGATTAGTGTTCGAAAAGGTTCGGCGCTGTTCCTTTCAAGGGATTGTACTTCTTCTACGCGATGGACCGATTCTCGATCCTGAATGATCTTCTCCGATTCGTCGGCCGTGCAAACCGATTCGTGTCTCGAGTGTTGCCAGCGAGCTGCCATGTATGAGTCCGTCGCGAAAATCGGTCGCGGCTCTTTTATGCGCCAAGATATATATATATATATTATTATTATTATTATTATTATTATTATTTCTATTATATATATATCATATTATATTATTTCTATTATTATATTATATATTTTATTATATATATAATATTATATATATTATGTAATATATTAAAAATATCGAAATAAGTTGAAATATGTATGAAATATATTTCAACTTATCTCAATATTTTTTCTTGTTATATATATTGTTATTATATATTAATATAATACATTATTATATACAGGGTGTCCCAAAAATATCTCGCAACCCGGAAATGGCGGATTCCTCGGATCTTTCGAAGCAACTTCTTCCTTTACAAAAATGTTCTCCGAAGCACCGTTAACGAGTTATTAACGAAAAACCAGTGACCAATAAGAATCGAGGGCGGCTGACGCGAGGCGGCCCAGCCAACCAGCGCACGAAGCACGGTTCCGCTCATTGGCTCGGTCGCCTCGCGCCAGCCGAGCTCGCCTCTCATTGGTCACTGTTTTTCGTTGATAACTCGTTAACGGTGCCTCGGAGAAAATTTTTGTAAAGGAAGAAGTTGCTTCAAATGACCCGAGGAACCCGCCACTTTCGGATTGCGAGACATTTTTCGGACACCCTGTATAATGCTGAAATATTATCTGTAATAGATAAGTTACGGTGTATAACCATGTTTGACATGTTAATTGCGACACTGTTCGGTCACTGTTTGAATTGACGATGGTAATAATACAAAATTTTAGATATTGACATTTGTTTGAAATTGTGTATATTTTTATCAATTTGGGCGCGCCGGTCACCGGTGACCCCCGTGGTATTCAACGTGTTAGGGACCTCGATCGCTTAGCATTCTTGGCTTAGTATTCTCGGTTGTTCTGCGGATTCTGTGCGCACTTCTGATACGAACGAGCACATTGATAAATCGGAATTCATCGCGGTTTCTGGTAGAAGAAATCGGTTTCAACGTTGCTCCGGCTTCGATTCGATCGGTGATAGCAATTCTAGCAAATTTAAGGGTATTGTGGCCTTTTTACAATCATTGTAAAATTTACCACATTTGCACGATCTATAATTGTGCCATTTACCATTTGTGGCACTTTTTACGAAAGTGTTCGTACACCTTTTAAAACGAATTTTTGAGAACTGTATAATTTATAATTTTTTGAGGACTGAACTGGGTGACCTGAATTATTTTTTAGATGACAGAGCAGTCTACTAGGCGATGGCTGAGAAGCTACTTTTTTTTAAATTTTGCTATTACATACTTGGAATGAAAAGGAAGAATGAAAAAATCCACGTATTTTAACTTTCTTATCCGAGTCTATAAGGAAAATTTTGGAAAATGCCTTTCGTAGATCCTCTATTTTTTTTATCAATTCAGTTCAATTTAACCAAGTTTGAGGGATCGAATGGAGACCTTCAAATCAAATGTTATAATACAATAACACTCGTTCAAAATCAAAGAATAAACGTCTTATCGTCACTTTTATAATACTAACCCTTCGCACTCGAAGCCACTTCAACTATAAATCTAAAATATATTATTATATATATTATTATATTATATTATATTATATATATTATTATATTATATTATATTATATATATTATTATATTATATTATATTATATTATATTACATTATACTATTATATATTATTATATATTATACAACAGAGCGCATTTTACGCGCGAGAAATCGAGTCTTGCGACTTACACAACAGCTATACTTTCAACAACGTTCCAAATCTAAATTCTGTCGATGTAAGAATTATTTTTAAACGTGACATAAACATTTTTTAATGATGCCACGGAGTCGCTACTCGATCGCGAAGGGCTAATACTCAACAGCTGTATCTTGTGCTCCGTAAATCCATCGTTAAACCGCGTCCAATCAATCCTTCCTCGAACGCGTAAAATCCGCGGGCCAATAATTGGCGCAACTCGCGGCCGTTTCAAAGAGATCGGCAAGGGGTTAATCGGTGGGGACGAATCGTTCCTTCTAAATCCGTCGTACGTCGCGGCGGGAAGTCGTATTAGAAAGGCGGCAGCCGATCTCTCTCTCTCTCTCTCTCTCTCTCGGCCGCAACGGGGTCCAGTCGGTAAAACTGATCCGGGCGCAAACAAACTGACTCGATAATTGCGCGGAGGCCCCCCGGGGCTCGCCTTTGAACTTTGGCTGGCGTATAATTAATGGTCGGAACGCGTTCCGAAAATTAGGTCGCTGCCGTTGCCGCCGGTTAAGTTCGAGTCTGCCGATTTCCGGGGGCAGCTCGCGCCTCAGTTCTCGCGCTTAGATTCGTTTAGCCGGTCGCGCGTTAACTCAAACGGCGAAACGTTCGCGTTCGGCGAGGAGTGGGGGCGAGAGCGTGGAGAGCAGTAGCTTGCGAGCGGGCAACCTTCTCGCGGCGCGCCGGGAGTGGGGGAAGGATGGCGCGCGAGGCCGCTGGTGGAGGGGACGGAGGACATTAACGAGGTTTTCGCTCGAATTAGCCCCGAGTACACGGCGCATTAAGTTCCCGGCGCGGGGATTCTCGGCTGGCGGCGTGTCTCGGTCGTTTTAATATCGAATTCCGCGTCTCTTTGGGTCTCCTCGCGTACGGTTCCCGTGTTATTTCGAGCGGGGGGAGCTGCGAAGTCGCGGAGAAACGGGCGTAGAGACACGGGCGGGGACAAAAACGGGGGCGTACGAAGGGTGCAGAGGGCGAAGAGAGACAAGAGAGAGAGAGAGAAGGTCGTAGCGTGTCCGAGGCGAGCGAGAGCTTTTAGCTGGATTAATTCCTCGTTCGGGGTTCACGCGTTTCGGGTCGCTCGTCATAGGCACCGTCGCGAGAAAAAAGCTCGACGACTCCTTTCTTCCCCCCACCACCTCCCGTCCCGGCCCGGAGAACGGAAATCAGCGACTTTGCTGCTTCCGCGCGAACTCCCGCGCCATCGTACGCCGCCTCCGGACGCAGCATTATCAAAAAGTGTGAGCCTGAAAGAACCGGCGGGGGTGAAAGGTCGGCGAGAGAGCGTGCACCTACTGCCTGAAGCGTTAAATGCCGCTCCCCTCTTCCCCTCGCCTCTGTGTCCTCGCGCTTTTTCTATTTTCTCCCTCCTTCTCTCGTTCGCCGACTCTTTCTCTCTCTCTCCCTTCGTTTCTCTCTTTCGCCCTTCCCCTCTTTTTCAGCTTTTTTATTTCTCTTTTTCGCTCTTTCTTTGCTTCGCTCTTTCTCCCTTTCCCTCTCCCTTCGTTTCTCTCTTTCGCTCTTTCTTTGTTCCGCTCTTTCTCCCTTTCCCTCTCTTTTCATTTCTCTCTCTCGCTCTTTCTCTCTTTCGCTCTCTTTTCATTTCTCTC